TTGAACCACTCGATCCGCAAGCTCCGCGCTGGTGAGTTTGGGGAGATTTTTGGAAATGATAGTCCAGGTTTGTGGAAGTGAGAGTCGGATATGCTGTCTCAGTAAATCTCTAGTCTAAGACCCAGCCATGACATCCGAAGGTAGACTAAAGAAAGCTTTCCGGAGTTGTCGCGCAAATTGTAATTGGGTCTCATCATTTCTTGCAATTATTTGTACAAATGTTGTCAAGGGTGATCCGAGTACATCATTATCGAAAAGTATTTCAAGAATACAGTCTACAGCTTCCGCCCAATCGAGGTGTTGACTGATAATTGTTCTTCGCGCTGAGATGAAATCTTCGTCCATTTCCATTGCAGTTCTGATAGCCCAAGTAGAATATGGAAGCATATGCTGAATCATCAATGATTACATGTTACAAGCTTACCGCCTTGTATGGTTAGAATCGGAGTTGTCCGATTTCATTTGTAATGATTGTTCACGTAACATTATTTGATAGCCAAGTTCGGGTGGGTTACGTAAGGCTCAGCATATCCTTAATTGTGTAGTTCATATACTCCTTTTGTTATACAAAATATAAACTCCATTTTGGATTCACTTGTGCAAACAGCTAGCGTGACCAGTCCTTTTACATTACATGTGGTACATTATTTTCATTGTGTTCTCATCAGCAAAGTGCAACTTTTATTGTGGTGGGAATACCGCGCGTGTTTTTCTACTTGCCTCTTTTAAAGGGCCGTGCGGATTATCAGCCTCGGAACCAGAAAAGAAATCTGGGAAGTACCGCTTTATTTTTCGCTCTTGTTCAGTAACATTCAATGGTTCATTGACTGACTGGCGGTACAAATTGATTGTCCCATCTTTGTTGTGCTCATCATTGCTTAGATTGGGTGTTGTTTCATAGAATTGCGCCGAGGTGTAGGGCCTTTTCTTAGGCTGTGTCACGGTTTGAGTGTTGATGCGGGAGCAATCAGATATACAAAGGTAGTTTATTATTTTCTCTGTACCTATCTATACAAGTCCTACCTCAACTATTTATACACTTACTATACTATCTGGAATATTCTTCTCGCCTGTAACCAGTTTCTAGTATGTTCCCCTGAGGCTGGTATGCAGTCCTACTACTAGTTACTAGAAATTTCTAGTGACGCCCCGATTGGTCTATGAAAGAATATTGAGTTTCGAAGATATGTACAGCACGTGATTACTATCATGTGATACTGAATAATTACCGGCTCACTAGCTGTTACAGGCGGGAACACAATTGGCCTGGTTATGGGTCGCGTGGCGCTGCCTGCTGAGAAGTCAAATAGCTCCTCCGGGTATGGCTTTTTATTTTTAAATGGCCCTGCTTCTGAAGATTGAAAGGGGACTAAAATTTTCAAAGAAGGTTTTATTTCCAAGCCTTCATTTCTACTTACTAGTTTGGAAATTGGGGCGGTCATTGCGGACACTTGTTTGACTAGAAGAGAAATTTGTGATTAAGTCTCTTCAAACCTTTGATCTATTCTCTTGGAGAGATCTTTTGCCACTGCATTTGCAGCTTCAATATCTTCGAATAATTTTTCGTTGATTTTAGTTTTCCCAGCAACATGTTCCTTGATCAAGCTTTCCATCTGAGCATTATTCATGCCGACCATGATGAATGAACAGATAGTGAAATGCGTAAATAATTCGGAGACGACTTAAATTGGGATGACCCAGAATTGTGAGGTTCTCTCAACAAAAACATATATTTTTGTGGCTTCTGGTTGACCAGTTTATGATCACAATGATTTCACGCAGGTGTCTCGTGGCTCCGACTAATCAACAATATAATGTGAGTAGAGCTTGAGACTAATAATACGTGAATTGATCTCTATAATACAGGATCGCCAATTTACTTAAATATTCCCTCGCACCACGTGAGCCAATCAACAGCGCACAATGTGCAGGGTCGGGTTTCCATCAATTGGGATTCACACTAGTGTGAGCTCCAACATCCTTATCTAAACTAGAATGGAAGATTTTCTGAGTGACTAAAGCCCAACAGATTTTGTCTGGTATGGGTTAATATTATAAAGAGATTGGACGCAGTAATGAAAGAACGCCTGCACGCTAAGACACTTACACATGATGTACAATTACAACAGTTAAGCGCATCTCATGGCGTAAGTGCAAGTTACTCAAACATAAACTATTTGTAGACTGCAAAGAAATGGAAGAAAGCTGATACTCAAATCTCTATCTTTGAATGACGTGCATTGCAGGTGTAAGATTAAGAGAGTCGCAATGACCAGGTGATTAGTGCTTCCTTGACGCCAAACCTCCGTGAGTATTGTTGGAAATATCGCGCAATGAAATGGGCACAGTATTCATGGAACGAAAGTATAAGTTGACTAAAAGAGTGTCATGTTCGGATTACAGCTAAAAGCGAGGAGAGTGTGCGCTACAAGCACGAGTGTAAGCGACACAGAACCTAAGCCACAGCATAAACGAGTGTGGCGCCATCGGGGCATAGAAAACCCCCAATAACCTCCTTGTGCCCGCGCCATACAGCCGCTCATGTCTCCAATAGGTAGCCTGAAGCGCTATCTTGTTACCCATTCCAACCTCTTAAATATACACAAGATCGTGTCAGGAATCTAGAGGAAATGGAGGGCCCATACGTCCACAACAATCTGTGTCTCCATTTCCAACAGGTATCCCAATCCAACTTCATACCTGTGTACTACATCCCTGACTGCTTGACACTAGCTCTAGCTGGATTTGGTACAGTGCAGACTCTTTGTTACGATGTGATTCCGTGTCGATATTATTTTATTTATTTTTCAAGGTCTACCGGGCTTCAGCTACGGCTAAGGCCGCATCCCTTGGGGGACATAGTGACGAGCACGTACTAAACTATATAACACTAAATTGGGAGTCTGAAGGCCTTTTAAACTGCATTTGTTAAGGTATTGTAAGCGCTGTACAGCAGGACTCTCACATGGACATGAGACAATTGGCCGAGTGCAGGCGACACTATAAACACCGCCATGGTTGGATGGTGCGGTGGTACATCGTCTTGGACGGTCTGCGAAGTAGAGACTGGATAGCTTGGACACATATCCCACTTGAGACAGTCGATCGCTGGTTCAAATCCAGCAAAACACAACCACATTTCTCGCGGCGCTGGTATGCATGGATGACGAAGGCATGCTTGGATAACCAAAAGTTTCGAAATTCCCTTTGTTGGGTGCTTAGGGAGGAGGGTCGACTGTTTGTGTAAGCGAACATACCTCATAGTGGTATTTGCAAATGAAATCCAGAGTATGAGTGTCTCTAACGTCAAAAGAGTCATCCAATATGTATACATAGTTCCGGTCATGTGTCATAGCTTTATAGCTGAATACACGTTGAATGATTTAAAAAAAAAGTGTCAATTGGCAGGGATCGGGCAAATTTCCGAAAGGAACTTTGTCTTCTCCGAAATAGATGAAAAACGCCTTGCACCACGGGAGGAGCCAAGAAGTAAATCCAGCTTCCCCAGGCTTCTTCGGAAACCAGCAGAGGCTAGCCTCTCTCGAACGAGGGGGCAGAAAACTAGGTGAGTGATTGACTTACCACCCCCGCAGGAGCAAGTCAGGTGGGCGTCTACGTGACAGAAGCGATCGTGATAAGTGCGAAAATCTCCGTGTCCAGTTCGGCATTGAATGAGGAATACACTATGATTAAAAAAAATTAAAAATTGAATAAGGTACCCAGGATTGCGGCAGGGGGAGCCAGTTGGCGGGCAGCCTCACCAGCCAGCTTATCGGCTAATCCATTACCTGAGATACCCACATGGCCGGGCGACCACATCACGTAGACTTTATCAGGGGTTGCGATGGGCAGAATTCTCCTCGAGAGCCATACGTGCCGATATTTTGTATCGCTAGACCCTTTTAGTGGAGAGCGTGATCACGTGATAACGCGTACAATCAATAATAAACTTCGTCCACTTCATGAAATCTTTTCTTAAGAGGCAGCCAAGGGTTGGAAATCGAGAACGCTACTACCTCATACCCAGGAAGGGAAGACAAATACACACTGGGTTCCTTGACATGTAGGAATTGAAGGTAACCAACAAGCTGATTGTGAGGCAAAAAAAGGAGCAGCTATGCCCTGTCAACACTCACCTAAGTATTCGTTTACCTCACTATTGGAATGGGACTCCACACAGCTGATGGAAGCCCGGAATAATTGGTGGTCCACGCACATCCCAAACTCATATGCTCAACTAGAAATTAAGACCGCTCCACACCCTCCAAAGGAGCTTTTATTAGGTCGGAAAGCCCTAGGTCAGATAATCGCAGATAGAGCTGGCTATGGAGACTTTGCATTTTATCACAAACGTTTTAAACATGAAGAAGCCAGGCTGAGCTGTCTTTGTGGATCGCCAAAAACCCCTACGCATTTTCTATTTTGTCGTATTCTCCGTCGACGAAATGGCCGCCCTGCAGGGCATGTCAATCAGCTCCGTATCAGCCTACTAGGCACCCCAGACGGTGCTAAAATCTTAACTGAGTGGCTGGCACAGACACAGTTTTTGGAAAATATTTGTCATCGATGAGGAAAATACTTTATACTTATTCGAACCTTATATGCAAACCCCGAAGTAAATTAGAGAAGGCATGGAAGACTGGCCATTTATTTAGCATGAACTAGGGGAGGAGTTGTATATCATTCTGCTTCAAGGCGTAACTTTTTCCTGCCTGCAGTTTCAGACAACGCAGTTAAACATTGTAATTCGATTCCTCAGATTAGACTTAGTTAAGTCCTAAACTCTAGAGCTCCGGATCCAGCGTCCTTTGTCCCGAACGGGACAGATATCACTTGCTCTAGCACATATGATTATCGACGTAGACGTTAAATAAAAACATCATCGTCATCATCATCATCATGAAATCTTCACACGTCGGGTAGTTTTGTTGTCTATTTTTCGTCCGTCGGCGCTCCAAGCTTGACTTAGGTCCCTACTACCCACTAAACTACCTAGAGGCATGGACGCCAGTGCTTACTGGCCCGGTGGCTTCGCCCTTGCTACTTCCTCACTAGGTTTACAGGGCAATTCTCTAATTACATGATTGCGTGTAGTGTAGCACCTACAATTTTACAGCCAGTCCCCAAGGCTCATTACTCCTTTGATGTATTACAGCCACTCTCGGGATGCTACTAATAGATCCATTCAGAAATACCGCACCATCCATCCATAATGCAAGCCTCAAAGTTGAGATAGAGTCTAAGACCTATCTATTTCTTCTCTGGGATTTCTAGGGCAGGTCTTTGTGTAAAACTCAGAAAGAGAAAGCCACTTTGCTACACGTAGGACCCCTTCCCAGGTTCCTATCAAAAATTTATTTTGGTCCCCTGGAGATGCTGGAGCTCGAGGGGGTCTATGGGTGGTTAGGTGGCACTCTAGCAAGTGCTATGGGGCTTTGAGCTGTCCGCAGCCACAATTAAGGTAAGCGCCCTCGTGATTGAAACGGCGGTTGTATTCTGCAAAGTCACCATGTCTTGAGCGGGTCGGGTAGTTTTATATAGACTGGACTAACTGGTACGTGAGGAGCTCACGTGCTGTGCGCGGGCACGACGTTAAATATTATAATTTTGAAATTGATTCCAATTAACCCCATCCGGCACCCTATGGGTCCATGCAGGTGACTATCTGCATTATTTACAAAGGAGGAAACCAATTTGATGAAAGCCCCCTGATCCTGTCTTTTTATGTTCGTATCAATTCATTTGGTTTACCTTGAGGAAGTGCAGTGTACACTGTTCAGCCAGTGCGGATTCCGTCCTCTCCCCTTCCAGATCTATTTACTTTATCCGACATTGCTACCTCGACTTCCCCTGCAAGTCGAAACCGTTTTATCCACCCTTTTTTTAGTATCCACTGTGTAGTTCTAGCCATGTCTTCTGGGCTGTTAATCATTGCTTCAAATGACCTGTCTTTAGCTTGTCGGAGAAAGTCGCCTCTTCCATTTGCCCACTACGGACACGCCAACACCATATGCTCGACGTTTTGCGACGGATATCCACATTGATAGCTTTGCTTTTCTACTCCGGGTACTTTTCTTCTGCTCAGGTAAGAATTGAGTCCGATATGCTTGCTCCTTAGCTGAATGGCGACACTGCTTTGGGCCCTGGTTAGGTTACGGTGGATTCTTAAGGGAGTATCTTTGAAGTTCATTTTTGGCGCTGCCTGTTTGTTCATCAGTAAATATATATTGGCCGCTTTCCAATGTTCTGCATCGGCTGATTCCTGATCTGGCTTGTCCACGAATCCTTCCACTATTGAAAGGCCGCTATCTTTCCAGCTTCTTTCTGCCTCCCCTTGTCCTTTTCCCTTCCGCAAGTTCTTCTCCATTCGGCGATATCTTTACTCTTGGTCAATGCATGCGGAGTTTCTCTTCCGTTTGCGGGCAGCTTTATCCTCTTACATGTCGATTGGATTGTCTGTTGAACTGGTAGTTTATCTGATAGTCCGGCGTGCTGGACCCAAATATTATAATTAAAAATAATAAAAAATTAAGTCTTCACACATTCTCGCACATTAAATTTATATCGTTCTACCTCACACAGTATTTAAACCAGCTATTTAATGTCCCTTGACTTCTATTAAGCTCTGCCTGCTGCTGAAGGCTTCTTTCCATGCGCATGAGTAACGTGAGCTCCATGGAGTTGGCATCTGGCTCATGCTCCTTGAAGCTGAGCAGGCGATTACGGCCATTTAGTGCTTGGTTTATCGTAGCAAGCGGCTCAGACGCCCCCTCATCCTCGTGCTCCTCCTGCTCCTCCTGCCGTGACATAGTATATACAGCAATGATTTCCGTAAGCGTGACCCACTCCTCCTCCACCTCAATATTCTCCTCGTCGTGTCTGTAATCTTAGTCGCTATTTAAGAATACATTTGCGTGAGGTGGATCCAGACTTCTACCAGAACTAACGAGTCGTGTGGGAAAGTGCACAAGATATTTAGAATTAAACAAGGAAAAATTAATCTATGCTTTGATTATTATGCACAAGACTAAATTTAATCAGGCTTCAGCCAATGACAGTGGCTACATCATGTGGCCGTTATTCGATATAACGATAAAAAGGCGACGGCGACATCGGTATACCGAATATCGCTGATTTGTCATATTTACCATGAGAACGTAGAGCGTGCGCATAGAAGACATCGCTATAAGGCGAATTTCTTTATATCGAATATCGTTATAAAGAGTCCGCACTGTAATATACTGGAAGTATAAAGAGGCATTTTCTATGTAAAGCTAAATACCTCACCCACACTTAATTTGATGCTGATTGGTTAGTCGACGTGTAAGGCTAAGGCTGAGAAGTGCTAGATTAGTGAGAGTCGCGGCATCTTCATCCGAGTCCTTCTCATTTCATGAAGATGAGTTTTGGCGGGTAAATTATCAACGAAAGCGTTGACCCACAAATTTGGAGGACGAAGGCTGAACACCTGTCAGTAGTATCCTTTACTAACCAGGGAGTGAAATACACTCACAGAGCCGAGATTCAGTCATGAACAAGGGTGAGTGTCTGAACGTGGTGGTTATTGGCAGTTCCAGCAACGGCTTACAAGTAAAAGCACGTGACTGTAGAGCCGCACGGGCCATGTAGAGTAGCAGATAGAGAGAGAAAAAATGCACAACATGAGATATCAAGAGTAACCAATAAGTTGCAACAGATATCACATACATTTGATACCAACAGGGAGTTTAATTTTGTGTGAAGGAGTTGTACTCGGTGTTCTGGTGGAAAAACCAGTCGGCAGAGATTTCACAGCCGCAAGAAAGTCGATCAAAAACTCATCACCATCAACATACGATTCATGAATGGTCCTGGATGTTTCTGGGGGGTCACAATGAAGTAATCGACATCTCTCAAACTCCTTGTATATTTGCGACGAAGCATTTCTCAGTCGATCTTACACCTGCGACCCACCTCCATACTCGTCCGATGACCTACCTAGACACGCTCTAATGAGGAAATTCAGGATGGAAACAGGACGTGTACAAAGGAGGAAAATAGGGGATCACACAAATCACCAATGACAACAACAACAACAACCCAATAGTGCGATATGAAGGTGCAAGGCTAGAGCAACGATGAGATCTGGGACGACATTTATATTTCCGAGTCTATGAGGATGTCAAGGGCTCGGGCGCGTGGTGGCCGAGGCTGAAGAGGAATTTGCACTACGGCGTGTTTACAGCGGCTTTCTGGACGGTCAGACTTGGTATGATTCAACACTTGGGTGAAGTCTGAGGCGGTCCGGTCATTTAAGTGGGACGAGGCATAATTGTCCTTTACGGTAGTTAACCTGATCCGGCCCGGCCCCACTCGTGCTTAAGCTCGAGTAGGAGTAGGATGGGTGACATATACCTGGCACGTGAATGAATAGAACAGAAAGGACCTACAAGATTTGCATCGTGCGCATTTGGATGCTTGGCATTCAATTTTTTGCCTACAATTCAGAGACACAGCTCCAGTTGCACCTTCATCGAAATTCGTCGCTATTCTTGGCACTTGAGTCATTGATCACATCATGTAGTCACTTATTACGGACATTAATAATGGTCTATGATTCTCCAGGGGTAGGCAGGTCTATGTATACATCCAAGATTCCGTTTTTTGCATGACAACAACTGCTAAAAAGGTTTTCCTCCATCTCATGCGTCTAATAGTTTGTTAGTTGCACCTGGAACTTTCTCGTGTCTAGGTAAGCGCAGCTCATGCATCCTTTTCTTCCTCTGTACCTCACACTAGACATCATAAAAGGGGCCAGAGGCTGATTGAACCGCAGAAACATCTTGCACACAAGAGCACCGTCTACACACTTGCAAAATGAAGATTCAAAATATGAAGTGGCTCTTAGCGTTCATGTTTACAACAAAATTTGCATATGCAGATTATGTTTTCAAATGTTATGATTTGGAGATAACATCAGAGTTAATCAGGCATTCCTATGAATCTGCGACAGATAGATTAGTGCCAGGCTTTCCCGCAGTTTTTTCAATTCCATATTTATACGAAAATAGACCAGTCGTCGTCTATGCCATACTTGGCCAAGACGAAACTGAGATAGCAGGTAATAATATTCCACTTTTGATTAGACTTTCTAACTTGGACAAAGAACAAATGTATCGACCTTACCTAATATGGAGCCGCACACATCTAGATTGGGGTGTGTATTTTCTGGGTGACAACGGCTACCAGAAGTGTGAGCAAAATCCAGCTTATGAAGGGGCAACTTTTGAACAGATAGCGTTTGGGCGTCAATAGGGCAACCAAAATAAAAGTTTTGGCGCAGATCCGCAATGCTGTGGTACATACAGTTAGTTTACTAGAAAATGTATCCTATGGATTTTCTAATATTGAAGCCAAGTGCCCTTGCTTGTGTGAAGGGCAACTATTTCACCTTCTCCTGTATTCTAAGCTATTCAGGTCATGTGACCTGACAAATAGTACAGAGGCTTAACCTGTAGTAGTAGGGCTCTCTACTTGATTCGACCGAAATCACGATCTGATGTAAACAATCTTCTCCTTTTATTATGTATTGTAAAATCTCTTCTTGATTTAATGGCTTTAATTAACCACCCCTTCATCTTATCACGAATTAATATTAGCATTAAAAATCTAACTAGGGATCTGTGAAAATTCTTTAGAAGTTCTCTCCTTGGAATTATTATCTGCAGCTACGGTTTGACCGCTGTCTGAGCTTATGTGGATACTGTTGGGATACTTAAATACAGTGCAAAGAACATAAACTGTATGTCACGTTTCTGGGGTTGTGTTGGTGGATCTTGTCTATTCACCTATTCTACAAAACGATACTTATACTCATAATGAACGATGACTAATCTATGACTAACATTGGAAAGTGAGGCCATGAGATTTATACCAACAGATACCTAAGCGTATTGTTGAGGATTCATGTTGTAAGACTTTAAGGAAATGATAGAGGAAACTGTAAGATATGCCACTACCAGCCAAGAGGCCAGATCAGTGTCACAGCATAGTTTTCACGGATAAGCAGTAGGGTATAATTAATTTGTTTTATTTCCGACGCAGCCTATATGACCGTAGGCTATTAGGTTAGTGCTTGATCTTGGTAAGCTAGCGAGTAGGTGTGGATGCAAGGGTTTAGAAAGGTAAAGGTGGTCTAGTGATAAACAAGTAGTCATCACATCGTGTCCTATGCTGAAGCGCTAATGGTAATGTTCCGTATACAGTCTGGTAGGCGTGGGAGAGTTCTCTCTTTACGCAACGTCTTCTTACATTCTGTACACATATTATACCACCTCACATCTCTCTTCCTTACAGAAGACCATTTCACTGCTATCCTATAATCATATTCAATATCCCTTCGTGCCCTACGGAACGTTAGTAGTAAGCTCCCTGAGAGTAGTGATTCTTGATAATGTGTAGCTGGGTGGCAAGTATTTGGCCTAGAGTGAAGAAATCAGTCAAGACAATCACTGAGGGGCTGAATGTTATAAATCCCAGCTAGTTGTAGCTAGATCTCTCTTTCTTAATTATACAGTTTATCAAATCAACATAATCATCACTAACTCGGGTTTCCCATCATCATCATCACCCAGCGCAAATTCTTCCATCCCATACACGCGTACCAGTACATTTATCCCCGTACCCAAACCCGAAAGATCAAGCAGCAGTATGGCTGCGCACAACTAGCCGTCATCCTCGGCGTCAATCGACCCAGGCGACCCTTTACACCCGAGCCTTCTTGGGATTGCTGCCGCCATGGAGCAATCAGAACGCCAAAGAAAGCAGCGAATGAGCCTAGCTCAGGATTTCCTGCAGAACATCGACGCCTAGGCGAAATCCAAGGCAGGAACTGAAGGTGCGGCCTTAGTTGCGCCGTTCATTGAAAATATTTCACCCATCGTGACAGCGTTCGCGATAGGTAACGCCAATGCCGCGATTCCCCAAGGCAAGAACCCATCACCAGAAGGTACACAGCAAAAAACCTCTGTACCTAGGGCGACAAAACCCCTCCATGAGCTGCCAAGAAAGCCCAAGGAGACTGCTTCTTCGTGGGCCACAGTAGCTCAGAAAGCAGACAAGATCCCAGACCCGCCAGTCAATCTGGTAAAACGAAGACCGGTTGCGCAGACAAGACCGGTCGGACAAGAGCCCCCTATAGAAGATAAACGACTCTTTCTTCGACTAGGTAAAGATCATGACTGGCGAAAGATATCACCAGTCACCATCAAAAAAATAACCACCGAGCGAGCTGGAATAGCTATTTCAGTCATCAACAACGTCCACCAAGTTAGATCAGGCTTGGCAATTGAATGCGTTTCAGACGCACTTAGAGAAACAATCCTTGGAATTGGGCAGTCCTTCCAACAAGAAAATATCACAATCGAGGCAGCCTCAGATTGGACTTCTGTCATGGTCCCACATGTGCCACTCTATATAAGGACACTAGAGGGTAGCATACCTGTGACAAAGGAAATGGTGGAAGGCGAGTGTCAGTCTATATGTGGTGTAAAACCCGTGCAGGTTCGCCAAGGTGAAGCAAAACTGGGACAGTACTCCACACACAGGGTCATCCACTTTAAACAAAAACCGGAATCCATCAAGTTCAGATTATTTGATGAAAGCGGACCAGCCATGCCTTTTAGGCGAAAACGTCCAATAGAGCAATGCCAACGCTGCTGGGGTCTTCATGCAACAAGAGCATGTACCAAAGGACAGCCCAGTGGCCGCTGCACTGGAACACATGAAACAAACAATTGCACTGTTAAAGTACCTAAATGCTTTAATTGTGCAGGACCACATGAGTCAACAGACCTCAACTGCATGGCTCGTCCCAGAAGGCAGAATGGCGCAGCTGTCCCTCGTACGCCAGCAGAGCTACGAGTTATTCGAGAGCGTGGCCATAGAGACTTCCACGCAGCGCTAGCCGCGTCAGACAATAAGGGAAAGGCCTTAGAGGTCATCAGCATCCCGGATGCAACAGTGAAAAATTCATGAGGAATACACCTGTAACTCATAATAAAAACGAGCAACAAAACGTCCTTCTATTTCACCAATTGAACGTAGGAAAGGGCGGGGAAAATTTGGATATAGCGTTACAACAGGCATGGGACGCGGGAGCGGACGTTGTCATGGTACAAGAACCATTGACACTGCAGAAAGAGGGGGAATATATAACGAAAAACCACTCGGGCTTTAACAGCCATAAATCCATCGGGGAAACAGTGGGTCGACCACGAGCAATCACCTTTACCCGTAAAGATATTACAGCCTCGCAAATATTCACGGGTCTCACCAGACAAACTTTGGACTACTGCTTTGTACAAGTATCAGGCATCACGTTTGTGAACGTATACCGAGCACCCGGGCCAAGTGGGACCTTAGAACCCATACTCCAATGGGTGCCTCAAGGCCCTACCATAGTAGGGGGGGACTTCAACGCGGTGTCGAAACATTGGCAACCCCAGGCAACTCGTCAATATGGCAACGGTGACTAGATCATGGAATGGGCATTGGCGCAGGACATGCAGCCAGTAACTCAAGCCGGCGTACCCACGCATTAAGATGGGAATGTGCTGGACCTAGTGTGGAGCAATACCTTTGCTGAGGCATCGGTCTCAAGTAGATACAGCTGCACATTAGACCATATGAAAATCGAAGGATCTGTGCAGGCCACAAGTAGGCTAGATCTTACCGGAGTCTCACAAGATCTGCGAGTCCGCAACCAAGACCTTCCCAAATTAGTCCAGTATGCCAAAGCTTGGGTCAAACCAGGCTCCATACGCAATGTGAAAGAAATCGAGCTCCAAGTATCAAACTTGCTCGAAGCTCTTAAAGACGCCCGCCGGGCAGTGAGACAAAAACCAGTGAGAATAGCCGGAAGATCAGCGCCATGGTGGAACGAGGAATGCAAATTAAAGCACCTCGAGTTCAGGGAATCTAGAAAAGACCCAGAATAAGCAGCCCACGCCCGGAAAAGATTTAGAGCAACTGTCAAAGCGGCTAAAAGGGATCACTGGAGGAAGCAGGTCGAAAACGCCACTACAGATACCCATGTATTTAGGATAATGCAATGGGCCAAACCCAAGTCGCGTCAAGAACCTCCTCCCTTAAAGGTTTCAGAGGACAAATGGATATCGAACCCACTCGAGCGGGCGGAAACTCTGCGTGACATCCTGATGACCAGATTCAATGCAGCCCACGATCTCTCCATATGGGAGACAGGACAATCCGATTCTATCCCATGGGACACAACATTATCGCCAGAGGATGCAAAATTGAGTACCATCGGGGCAGGCAATAAGTCTCCAGGGACGGACAAAATCACGGTCAGGCTACTTTCGGCATGCTGGGAGCAAATTGGAGATCATGTGAAGAACCTCTTCCAAGCCTACTTACAGCTCGGACATTTCCCCACCATGTTTCGAACTGCGGAGGTCATCCTTCTCCCTAAGCCTGGACGGGACCTGGCAACAGCTAAGGGGGTGGCGACCAATATCTCTTCTGTCTTGCCTCGGAAAAGGTTTGGAACGAATTGTGGCCAAGAGAATGGCCTGGCTAGTAATAGAGCACCGAGTCGTTCCTCAACAGCTATTTGGCGCACTTCCTGGACGCTCAGCAGTCGACCTTGTCTCCTGTGTCATACACGATGCAGAAGCTGCGATGCGAAACGACAAGGTAACAGCCATGGTTACTCTGGATGTACAGGGAGCGTTTGATGCAGTTCTGCACAAACGGCTGATCCATTGGATGTGGAATCAGGGATGGCCAAGGATACTTTGCCTGCAGGTAGAATCCTTTCTAACACAACGAAGGATAAGGATGCGTTACTATGATGGTACGAAGCGGGATAAAATCGCCGAGTGTGGAGTCCCACAAGGGTCGCCACTATCACCTCTATTGTTCTTATTATATATTGCAATACTACTGCAAGACGAGAATAAGAATACAAAGTTCGGGTACGCTGACAATATTGCGATACTTAGCATAGGAAATACCGCGTCTGAAGCAGTGGCCGAAGCCCAGAAAGAAGTCGACAAACTAGTTCAATTAGCGAGTGAAAATAGGATAGACTTTGACCCGACAAAGTCTGAACTACTGGTAGTTGGGGGAGGGCCAAAGAAAAAGCTAGATACCTCAGGCCTATCCGTTCAGATTCAAGGCCACAGCGTACCTACATCCCCGTACGTGAGATGGCTGGGAGTATGGCTAGACTCTCAGCTCAACTTCAAGCAACACGTCCAGGAATGGTGTGGAAAGGCACATCGTATAACACA